GCAAGGAAAGGAATCAAGCACTTGGTAAATAGGAAAAGCTAACCTTTCACTTTGAATCACATCAAAATAAACCAGATGAATTATTCAGTGTGTTGTCCAGTGTCAAAAATAAAAACAAAAAACAAAAAAACCACAGTAAATCTATCTGTAAATTGTTGAAGAAAATAGAATTAAGTACTTGCTAGACCTCTAGAAAAAGGACGATTTTTCTTTCTGTGCCTTTTGGGCCTTTCACAGGATAAGTTTCTAAACTTTAAAGTATGAGAAGAAATCTCAACAGCTGTGACTACCTAAAAATAAAGGATAATGTACTTTTAAAATGACCTTAAATTTAAAAACCAAACATCAGCTTTGTGCAGTGGCAGCCTCATAACCAGAGAGATTTTCCCAAGATCCTGTTATGGCTCATAAGAACCTTGCTAGTTCAACTGTGTTCAACTCGCTGAATTTCAACAAGATAAGACAAATATACAAAGATGAATTGGGCAGGATTCTTCAATAAAGAATTGATTATTGATTATAATAATGAAAAATCAGAAACAACCTAAACATCCACAATTGGGGGTTGATTAAATACATTTTGATAAAGCTCTATAATGGAATATTAAGCAGTCGCTAAAAATAATAAGGTAATGAATATTTATTGAGAATGAAAGGTCCAATTTATTGCTGAGTGAGAAATTAGATTAGAGAACAACATTAAAAGTAGTTAACTCTGGACCGAGCATGGAGGCTCACACCTGTAATCCCAGCACTTTGGGAGGCTGAGGCAGGTGGATCATTTGAGGTCAGGAGTTTGAGACCAGTCTGGCCAGTATGGTGAAACCCCATCTCTACTAAAAATACAAAAGTTAGCTCGGTGGTAGTGGTGCGCACCTGTAGTCCCAGCTACTCCAGAGGCTGAGGCAGGAGAATCACTTGAGCCTGGGAGGTGGAGGTTGTGGTGAGTCGAGATCATGCCACTGCACTCCAGCCTGGGCAATTATGGCAAGACTCCATCTCAAAAAGAAAAAAGAAAAAAAGAAAAGAGTAGTTAACTCTGAGTAGAATTTGAAGTGATTTTAACTTAAACTTTCATCTGTGTCTTTTTTTTTTCCTCCAGTAATTGTGTATGATTTTGATCATCAGAAAGGAAATGGAGCTGTTTTCATTTTAGAAAAACAAGTGCAAACAACTGACCTGGAAAATTGTTTGCAGTGACTTCGACATAGGGTTAAGTCTTTATTATTCAAACAGCTCACGCTCATTGTTAAGAAATAATCAAAGACCCCCGTAGGGTTGAGCAGAGAACATGAATAGACAGTTCATAACATAGGAAACACGGATGGTAAACAAACATATGGATCATTATTGAGATTCACTTGTAATCAAAGCAGTGTAAATTTAAATAATGAGGTAACTTTCTTTGTTGTTAAATTAGCAAAAGTTCATTGCTGTGTTATTTATAATAAAGAAAAAATAAGTGTCATATAAATTGGGGGGGGGGATCACGTGGAGATGCCTTTGGTACTGGTTTAAAAATGAAAATGGGAAGGGTTGTGTAAATTATGGTTGGTAACCCGGGAAAGAATATGACCATGGTGATAAGGAGATTGTAAAAAAAAAAAAAAAAAAAAAAAAAAAAAATAATAAATTGGTAATTGGTACGTTAAAGATTTTATATTGTAACTGAAATATACAAGGTGGTATGGGTGATTATGAGTAAGGTGGGATGGGGTGGAGTAGGTGAGGTGGGTGGGGTGGGTGGAGTGAGGTGGGGTGGGGTGGAGTGGGGTAGAATGAGGTAGAGTGGGGTGGAGTGAGGTGGGGTGGGGTGGAGTGGGGTAGAATGAGGTAGAGTGAGGTGGGGGTGGGGTAGGGTGAGGTGAGGTGGGGTGGGGTGGAGTGAGGTGGGGTGGGGTGGAGTGGGGTAGAATGAGGTAGAGTGAGGTGGGGGTGGGGTGGGGTGGAGTGAGGTGGGGTGGGGTGGGGTGGAGTGGGGTAGAATGAGGTAGAGTGGGGTGGAGTGAGGTGGGGTGGGGTGGGGGTGAGGTGAGATGGGGGTGGGAGTGAGGTGGGGTGGGGTGGAGTGAGGTGGGGTGGGGTGGAGTGGGGTAGAATGAGGTAGAGTGAGGTGGGGGTGGGGTAGGGTGAGGTGAGGTGGGGTGGGGTGGAGTGAGGTGGGGTGGGGTGGAGTGGGGTAGAATGAGGTAGAGTGGGGTGGAGTGAAGTGGGGTGGCGTGGAGTGGGGTAGAATGAGGTAGAGTGAGGTGGGGGTGGGGTGGAGTGAGGTGGGGTGGGGTGGGGTGAGGTGAGTGGGATGGGGTGGAGTGAGGTGGGGTGGAGTGAGGTGAGTGGGGTGCGGTGGAGTGAGGTGAGTGGGGTGGGGTGGAGTGAGGTGAGATGGGGTGGAGTGAGGTGAGATGGGGTGGAGTGAGGTGAGTGGGGTGCGGTGGAGTGAGGTGGGGTGGCGTGGGGTGTGGGGGGAGAAGAGCAGGGTTGTTCAAGGGAGGAAGATCTGAGTTCAGTCCAGCTCTGCCACTCAATAAGTCTGTGATCTTGGGCAAAAGGTGCTTAGCCTCTCTGAGCTTTGGTTTATTTTTTCTCTATGATTGTAAAAGTATATACAGTACCTGATGTAGAACCTGGTGTGTAGTGTTTATTCAGTACATATTTGTTGAATGAATGAATGGTATTCAGTGCTATATATAAAAGCATATGTATGAAGAAAGATTGGAAGAAAATACAGCAAAATGATGAGTGGTTATATTGGGGGAAGAGAATGTGAGTGATTTTAAAATTTCCTATTTTCTGTTTGGTGGTATTATATTTCTAATTGAAATAATTACCTAAACTCATTCCTAATGTCTTTCTTTCTGGGCGTCCTACTGTATTTACTCTTTGATACATCGTGAGACCTTTTTCTTTTCTTTGAGACAAGGTCTAGCTGTGTCGCCAGGCTGGCATGCAGTACTGTGATCCTGGCTCACTGCAGCCTCGACCTCCTGAGCTCAAGCAGTCCTCCCGCCTGGGCCTACCAAAGTGCTGGACTGCAGGCATGAGCTGCCATGCTTAGCACGATTTTAAGGCTCAATTACATTATTTTCCTTTATTCTTTCACTCAGCCAAACACCTTGGAGTTGGCCTTGACCCTTTTCTTTCTATGTCAGCAAATCTTGCTGGCTCTGCTCTTTAGAATATATACAGAATCGGCCGGGCGCGGCGGCTCACGCCTGTCATCCCAGCACTTTGGGAGGCCGAGGCGGGTGGATCACGAGGTCAGGAGATCAAGACCATCCTGGCCAACATGGTGAAACCCTGTCTCTACTAAAAATACAAAAAATTAGCTGGGCGTGGTGGTATGCACCTGTAGGCCCAGCTACTCAGGAGGCTGAGGCAAGAGAATTGCTTGAACCCAGGAGGCGGAGCTTGCAGTGAGCCAAGATTGAGCCACTGCACTCCAACCTGGGCAACAGAGAGAGACTCCATCTCAAAAAAAAAAAAAAAAAAAAAAAAGAATATATCCAGAATCCTGACATGTCTCACCACCTTCACTGCTACCATTCTGGCCCACGTCTCTCACCTGGAGTACTGCGGTGGCCTCCTGCCTGGTCTCTCTGCTTCCACCCTTGTCGTAATAGCCAGAGTGATGAGTGATGATCAGCAGACCACATCACTTTGCTGCCTGGAAAAACCCTTCAGCGCCTTCACATCTCATTCAGAGTAAAAGCCAAAATCCTTAAAGTAGCCTACAGGGCTTTTTTTTTTTTTTTTTTGAGATGGAGTTTTGCTCTTGTTGCCCAGGCTGGAGTGCAATGGCGCAATCTCTGCTCACTGCAACCTCCGCCTCCCAGATCCAAGCAATTCTCCTGCCTCAGTCTCCGGAGTAGCTGGGATGACAGTTATGCGCCACCACGTCCAGCTAATTTTGTATTTTTAGTAGAGACGGGGTTTCACCCCGTTGGCCAGGCTGGTCTCGACCTCCTGACCTCAGGTGATCCACCCGCCTTGGCCTCCCAAAGTGCTGGGAATACAGGTGTGAACCACTGCGCCTGGCCAAGGCCTCTTGACAATCTGTTCCTCACCTTCAGACTCATACCTTTCTGATCTTATTTCTTACTCTTTTGCACTTACTGTTCTCTCTGCCTGAAAACTCTGCAGTTGTTCATAAGGCTGGCTCCTTCCCTGCTTCAGGTATCTGCCCAAGTGTCACCTTACCGCAGAGGTAGGCCTGTCTCAGACCTCCGTATCAACCCGTTCTCCCCACCCACGCCCCACCCAGCGTCCCTCATGTCCCTACCCTGTTTATTCCTTCCTCCATTTTTCATTTGCCTTACTATGTATTTTATCAAATATTACGAGCTTATATATCTTTCCCAATAAAAGCAGCTCTATAGAGGCAGGGATTTTTTTTTCTATTTTGTTCCTTGCCATAACCTTACCACATAGTAAGTACTAGGTAACTATTTATTGAATATATATATGAGTGTTTCATATATGTAAGTCATAGTCCAAAACTAGTTTGAAAGCTCTTTGAGAAAATGTCATGTTGGTTTTTATGCATTTCTTCCCACAACTCTGCAAGCATAGAATAAGAATAAGGCAAGGTAGGCAGGGAACACTGCGGAGAAGCAAACAGTATTGTTGTGTTGGATTCACTGTGCCTCTCAGGCGAGGACTCTACCCAGAGGACTTGAGAGAGAGGCCGCTGCTGGAAATATTCTATCACCGTGATTGGAGTGGTTCCATGAGTATGTGCGTGTGTAAACACTTAATTAAACTGTGTACTGAAGATCAGTGCACCTTTACCATATGTACATTATGCCTCAGAAAAAATGTTTACAAACACAATATATCCTTTGACATCTCCAGAGGAAGTTAAACATGCTAAATGATACATAAAGATAAGGAAAGAGTTCTTCATATGCTTGCTTATTAAGATTGCTAGTCTGGTTATTAGAATTTTTGTTTTCAATTCAAAGCTAAATTAAAATAATTTTTATTTACTTTGTCTTTTGCAGAGATAATAGTAGCAGAATTTCACAAAAAAATCAAGGAAGCATTTGAAGTGTTTGACCATGAGTCGAATAATACAGTGGATGTGAGGTTTGGAAATTTTTTTTTTGGTTACACTTCTAAATTACTGACACAAGTCATAAGATACAAGAGAGCTATTTTCTCTTCTTTTTACACTGTACCTTGGATTTATTATGCTGTTTTAAGTATTTATTTTCCATGCTCTGTTAAAGGTCTTTGCTAGCTATTGCTTTGATAAGTACTGTTTCTTATTCTTCATACTCTGGTAGAAAGAATATACTGTATTCTCATTGCCCGTTCCAACCTATAAATTGTGAACTCTGTGAGTGAGATGAACTGTATTTCAGTTTTAGTGCTTGGCGCATATTTGGCACTCAGGAAGTAGTCGAGTGAAGGAATGCCATTTGCTTTGTAAAACACATAAAGATGTATTATAAGGCCACGAATAGGATATTGCAAGGAAACATTAATAATGCCTATGCGATGGCACACTCCCCCTGTAAAATAGCAAAAAGAACCCAAACAGAAGAACATGAAACGACAAGAGAAGACATGAATACTGCTGGGTCTGAAATGGAGGACACAGCATGAGTCTGAAACAAAACAAACAAACAACCCCTTAAAAGACAGAAGAGATTACACACACTAATAAGAATTGTAGGGTTTGTGCCACACACATCAAAGAAAGGCAGTGAAGCTGGGTGCGGTGGCTCACACCTGTAATCCCAGTACTTTGGGAGGTCAAGGTGGGCAGATCACCTGTGGTCAGGAGTTCAAGACCAGCCTGAACAACATGATGAAACTCCATCTCTACTAAAAATACAAAAATTAGCCAGGCGTGGTGGCGGGCGCCTGTAATCCCAGTTACTTTGGAGGCCGAGGCAGAAGAATCACTTGTACCCCGGAGGCAGAGGTTGCAGTGAGCCGAGATCACGCCACTGCACTCCAGCCTGGGCGATAGAGCGAGACTGTCTCCAAAAAAAAAAAAAGGCAATGAAACCATTCTTTAGGAGGCCAGGCTAAATGAGGGTTATTTGATGCGATTGCAATCTCAAGACCAGGGCCTAGTAAAGAGGCCAGCACAGCAGTGGGAAGTGGTTTGAAAACGGTTCTGGAAAGGAACTGTTTGAGGCTTATAAACCAGTGCCATCAGAGGTGCAGCACCACATAGCTCTGGTGGCTCTGGTCACATTGCATTCTGTGGGAATGACACTGGAATACCAGGCCTTCCTGTGGGTACCCCAGTAGGAAATGAGTGGGTGGGGTGCTAGTGGTGGTGGTAGGGTTGGGGAGGGGGTGCAGCAGGCAGCCCTGGCCTGCAATTTGAATAACTAAGCACATGAATGACAAATGCCTTGACCTCAGACCTCTCCTTGAAGGGTTCTCCTGGGGGCAGGGGACAGAGGTATTGTTAGAGAAGTCAGGGAAAGTATGGCGTTATGAGAGAAAGGGGAAAGAGAGAAAAGAAACCAGCATTTGCTTAAGGCTTGCCATCTAACACACTACCTGTAGTTGGGTGCTAGAGGCTTCATGTGGATTACCTCATTTTAATCTTTTTATTTGTGGGTTAAGGGTTGGCATCTCCGGTTTCTGGAGACAAGGAGAAGGTAAATAGTTTGCTCCATGTCACACCAGGGTTTTTCTAACTCCGAGTCTCTTGCTATGCTACGTGACCCACACTCCCACCCGTACCTACCCTTTAAAGACATCGGGGCTTCTCTTCTGCATTCAGGCTTCCTGACAGTAGCCGTGAAAAGAACATCTCTGGATCCTGAGAGCAACGAGGCCAGGCCTTTTATGGTAAAAGGGCCAATTCAGTAAAAGTAAACATGTTTATGGGCTGAATCTTTTTTCCACTGAAAGTTAAAATAACTTTACCGAGGCCCTGAGGGAAAGTAGATGTTCTTACAACTTAAAGGGTCTGCTTTATTAGTTAAAGATGGTTACTACGAACACTGTTATTGTTTTTAGCATTAAAATATTGATGCTGAGTGTATTTGAGGAGGGACAACATGGATGAATGTAGCTTCCTGATCATTATTCCTGTGTTAATTTTTATAGCACTTTAAAGTTTATAATGAATGTTCTCATGCTTCTGGTATCATTACCATCCACTCTTTTTTAAAAATTCGTTTAAAGATAGGGTCTTACTCTGTCCTCCAGGCTGGATTACAGTGGCTTGATCATAACTCAGCGTGTGTGACCTTGAACTCCTGAAGTGATCCTCCTGCCTCAGCTTCCCAAGCAGCTAGGACTGTAGGCACTTGCTACCACGCCCAGCTAATTATTATTTCTTGTAGTGACGGGGTGTTGCTACGTTGCCCAGGCTGGTCTTGAACTCCTGGCCTCAAGTGATAGACCCTCCTCAGCCTCCCAAAGTGTTAGTATTACAGGTGTGAGCCACTGCACTTGGCCACTGTTTATAAATTGGAAACTAAGCTTTGGGAGGCTGAGGCAGGTGGATCACCTGAGGTCAGGAATTTGAGACCAGCCTGCCCAACATGGTGAAACCTCGTCTCTCCTAAAAATAAAAAAAGTAAAAAAAAAAAAAAATTAGCTGGGTGTGGTGGCGGGCGCCTGTAGTCCCAGCTGCTTGGGAGGCTGAGGCTTTAGAATCTCTTGAACCTAGGGGGTGGAGATTGCAGTGAGCTGAGATTGCATCACTGCGCTCCAGTCTGGGCAACAGAGTGAGACTCCATCTCAACAAAGCAAACAAACAAACAAGAAAATGTAAGGATGGAGAAGCCAAAAGACTTGCCCAAGATCACACAATAGGTTAGCAACAAAGTTGGAACTCAAGTTCGCTTCTTCTTTGGGGCAGCGCTTTCCAGTTTGTGTACCCCCCAGGGGCGGCTCTGAGAATGCAGGATGAGTGAGGTCTGGCCCTGCCTTTCCCAGCGCGTTTTCTCGGTTTGTAAAAGCGGTTGATCTATCGAGAATGTATTTCGGCTGATTAAAGCGAAGGTCTAAATAGACTTTTTTTTTTCCCCAAGTTACCAGTTTATTCCACTTACTTCTGGAATTGTTAGGCCTTCTTTATAATATGCAACATTTTATAGAAGGGGTCTAATTTGGCGCATATCTTATGTGCTGTACCACTTTACCTTCAATGCTCTATTAACTGTTGTCAGTTTATAAAATAATTTAATGTCTGATAGTTTAATATCCTTCTTTTTAAACATTTTAATTAAGGATTGAAGGCAGTATTCTGTGTAAGAACTGAGGAAAGTACATAAAAAAGAATGAAATCCTGTCATTTGTGGCAACCTGAGTGAGCCTGGAGACATTATGTTAACCAAAATAAGTCAGGCACGGAAAGAGAAATGCCGCATGATCTCGCTTCTATGTGGGAGCTAAAAACAAACAAACAAACAAACACACAAACAAACAAAAAAACTGAGTTCCTGGAAGTAGAGAGTAGAGCTGTGTGTCAGAGGAGAGGAAAGACGGGGAGGAGGGACTGGGGAGGCTGGTTAATGGATGCAGAATTACAGCTGGATTGGTGGAAGGAGTTCTATTGTTCTGCCGCAGTAGAGGGTGACTCTGGTTAACTCTGATTTATTTTCCAAAAATACAAGAGAGGATTTTGAATGTTCACAAGGAAATGATTAATGTTTTAGGTGGTGGAGATGCCAGTTACCCTGATTTGATCATTGCACTTTGTATAAAGCATTGACGTATCACTCTGTATATCTCAGAAATCTGTACAATTATTATTTGTCAACTAAAAATAAAAGGGAAAAAGCAAGGATTGAGTGGTGTAAAGAAGTGTTTTTCAGGCCAGGTGCAGTGCCTCACGCCTATAATCCCAGCACTTTGGGAGGCCAAAGTAAGGGAGGAGACCACCTCTCATATCGTCTTATGCCCAGTTTCTGCCTCCAAAGAAAGAAGTAGTAAAAACTAAAAGGCAGAAATGAAATCCACAGCCAGACAGCCCGGCACCGCACCCTGGGCCTGGTAGTTAAAGATCAACCCCTGACCTAGTCGGTTCTGTTATCTATAGATTCCAGACATTGTGTAGAAATACACTGTGAAAATCCCTATCTTGTTTTATTCCGATCTAAGATCTAATTACCGGTGCATGCAGCCCCCAGTCACGTACCCTCTGCTTGTTCAATCAATCACGACCCTCTCACACGCACCCCCTGAGAGTTGTGAGCTCTTAAAAGGGACAGGAGTTGCCCACTCAGAGAGCTCAGCTCTTGAGACAGGAGTCTTGCTGATGCCCCCGGCCAAATAAACCCCTTCCTTCTTTAACTCGATGTCTGAGGAGTTTTGTGTGCCGCCCATCCTGCTACAGAAGCAGGTGAATCACCGGAGGTCAGGAGTTCGAGACCAGCCTGGCCAACATGGTGAAACCCCATCTCTACTAAAAATACACAGATTAGCCAGGCATGGTGGCGTGTGCCTGTAATTCCAGCTACCAGGGAGGCTGAGGCAGAAGAATCACTTGAACCCAGAAGGCAGAGGTTGCGGTGAGCCAAGATCGCACCATTGCACTCCAGCCTGGGTGACAGAGTGAGACTCCGTCTAAAAAAAAGAAAGAAAGAAAGAAAGAAGTGTCTTTGAACGGAGGGAGAGATATATAATGACTCAGTGGGGGCAGGACAGAGAGCCGTTCCTGGAGAGCCCCCCAGGCACTGGCTGTGCCTCCCCTAGCTGCTTTATCCCTCAGGTGGAGGTTTGGTGTTACTTCCTGTGTAGGGCTGATCTAGGCCCCCTTGAGAGGTGTAGGTCTTAGAGTTTTGTGGTGGCTACTCTCCCTTTCCCTTATCTCTGCTTTGCACAAATTGGAATATTTAATTTGAAATTTTATCGCATCAGATAAAGGGAAAGTCTGGTATTGCAAATGCTGGGCAGCCACCAGCCCACTGTCAAAACCTTTATGAGCTGGGCCCCTACTACTGCCCTTCCGCCTCTAGGGGCCAGTTCTGAGGTCTGGAATCAGACTTCCTGGCTTCCCATCCCAGCTCCGTGACTGCGAGTCATTTCGTTATTCTCTTTGTGCCTCAGTGTACATTTGCCTCAGAGGTTTCGTAGTACAAGTAAGTAGTTCTCAGAGTGCTCCCAAGACCCTTTCAGGGGACTGTGAAGTCAGAACTATTTTCATAATAAATTTAAGAGAGTATTTGTTCTTTTCATTCTCACTTTTTCCACGAGTATATACTGTTTTTTTCTTTTCTTTTTCTTTCATTTTTTTTTTTTTTTTTTAAGACAGAGTCTCTCTGTCACGCAGACTGGAGTGCAGTGGCGCGATCTCGGCTCACTGCAACCTCCGCCTCCTGGGTTCACGCCATTCTCCTGCCTCAGCCTCCCGAGTAGCTGCAATTACAGGCACCTGTCACCACGCCCGGCTAATTTTTGTATCTTTTTTTTTTTTTTTTTTTTTTTTTAGTAGAGATGGGGTTTCACCATGTTGGCCAGGCTGGTCACGAACTCCTGGCCTCAGGTAATCCACCCACCTCGGCCTCCCAAAGTGCTGGGATTACAGGCGTGAGCCACTGCGTCCGGCCTTGTATTGGAGTTTTTCAAAGGCTACATGACATGCAGTTTTGCAGCAGATTGAACGCAGAACTAGATATGAGAATACAGCTGTCCCCTGTGAAGCCAGGCATTACATATTTACATTGAACGTATGTAAAACATGCCATTCTTCTCAATATACTTTTTGTTTTGGAAAATATAGTTTAAAAAAATAAAAATTATTTATGTAAACATATGAGTTGATTTATGATTTCTAAATGAATTAATACATACATATTTTTAAAATGTAAGGTTTAATTTCTAATATGATAATAAATATAGATCCATATAACTCACACAACATAAACGCTTTGAGCGCCTTGATAATTTTTGATAATTTGTAAAAGGAGTTCTCAGACCAAAAAGTTTGAGAACCACTGTTGTGAGTGGACATTTTTAAAGCTCTTAGAACAATATTAGCTTGGGATTTAAAGCTAAGAACAGTATTAGCTATTATAATTTTTCTACTTTATATACATATAGTTTGTATTATTATTATTTTGAGATGGAGTCTCAGTGTCTGGCTCAAGCTGGAGTGTAGTGGCCCGATCTCAGCTCATTGTAACCTCTGCCTCCTGGGTTCAAGCGATTCTCCTGCCTCAGCCTCCCAAGTAGCTGGGATTACAGGTGCCCACCACCGTGCCCATCTAATTTTTGTATTTTTGGTAGAGACAGGGTCTCGCTATGTTGCCCAGTCTAGTCTTGAACTCCTGGCCTTAAGTCATCTGCCTGCCTCAGCCTCCCAAAGTGCTGGAATTACAGACATGAGCCACGGTGCCCAGCCCCATTTTATGTTTTTAAAGTAAATAACTCAGATTTGTTTTGCCTCTGTTTAATCTGGATGAGCAATGTTATGTTATATGTAACAAAACTCTCATAAGAACTTTAAAATACATATTTTATTTTAGAGACAAGCTCTGTTTATGTTGCCCAGGCTGGCCTTGAAATCCTGAGATCAAGCGATCCTCCTGTCTCAGCCTCCCGAGTAGCTGGGACTATAAGCACCTACCACACCTGGCTAGAATGTTTTACTTATTCCCATATGTTCCATATTGATCTCTTAAGATCTAAAGCATTTTATTTTTCTTTTTCATTTCCTTGTTAAATAGTTTTTGAAAGCCAGCTCCTTGAAAAACACTGGGCAGGTTTTCAATATCACTAATTAGGGATACTCTGATTTTATGCCTTATATAATATAAAACACAGAGCTTTTTTTTTTTTTTTTAAAGACAGTCTTGCTCTGTCGCCTAGGCAGGAGTGCAGTGCAGTGATCTCGGCTCACTGCAACCTCCACCTCCTGGGTTCAAGCGATTCTCCTGCCTCAGCCTCCCAAGTACCAGGAATAGTGAGATTACAGGTGTGTGCCACCATTCCCCAGTAATTATCTCTTTTTTTTTTTTTTCTGTACTTTTAGTAGAGACAGGGTTTTTGCCATTATAGCCAGGCTGGTCTCGAACTCCTGGCCTCAAGTGACCCGCCCGTCTCAGCCTCCCAGAGTACTGGAATTATAGGCATGAGCCACTGCACCCGGCCACATTTTCACTTATATGTATTTTCCTGCTCTGTATTTAGAAGTTAAGAAGAACGATTGAAAATTAAATTTTTGAATAGATGATATATGTACATGGGATAAAATTCTAAAGGTAGAAATAATATATAGTGATAAATAAATCTCTTTTCTACCTATCCAGTTCCCCTTATTAAAGGCAAGGTTTGTTACAGTCTTCTCTAATTCTTCCAGAGATTCTCCATGCAAATATGTATGAGTATGTGTGTGCGTGCGTTTGTGTGTGTGTGTGCATACGTTTGTGTATTTTTTTTACTGTGGTAAAATATAGATAACCTAAAATTTATCATTTTAAGTATAGAATGCAGTGGCATTAACATTACTGTACAACCATCACTGCTATCCATTTTAGGCTTTTTCATCTTCCCAAACTGAAACTCTGTACCCATTTAACAATAGTTCCACACCCCTCCCTCTTGCAGCCCGTGGCAGCCACCGTTCTGCTTTCTGTATCTATGAGTTTCATTATCCTAGATGCCTCATATATAAATGGAAGAGTACAATATTTGTCCTTCCTGTGCTTGCTTCGGCAGCACATACACTAAAATTGGAACGCTACAGAGAAGATTAGCATGGACCCTGCAGGAGGATGACATGCAAATCTGTGAAGCATTCCATTTTTAAAATACAAACAAATAATATTTGTCCTGTGTCTTGTTTATTTCATGTAGTGTAATGTTCTCACGGTTCATCCACCTTGTTGCATGTGTCAGAATTGTATTCCTTTTTTGAATAATATTCCATTGTATTTATATCCCACATTTTATTCATCCATCTGGCTATTGATGGACATTTGGGTTGTTTTCATCTTCTGACTGTTGTGAATAACGCTGCTATGAATGTTGGTGTATAGATATCTGTTCGAGTCTCTGCTTTTAATTCTTTTGGGTGCATATCCAGGAGTGGAATTGCTGGATCACGTGGTAGTTCTGTGTTGGATATTTGAGGAACCACTGTACCGTTTTCCACAGCGGCTGCACCATGCTGCGTTCCCAGCGGCAATGCCCCGAGGTTCTGGTTTCTCCACATCTTTGCCAGCACTTGTCATTTCTGTTGGTTTTTTTGGAGGGGGGTGTTGTTGTTATTGTTGTTTCTATAATAACCGTCCTACTGGGTGTGAAATGGTATCTCACTGGGGCTTTGATTTGCATTTTCCTGATTAGTAATGTTGAACATCCTTTCATGTACTTATTGGACATTTGTACATCTTCTTTGGAGAAGTCTCTAGTCTTTGCCCATTTTTAAACCAGGTTGTTTTATTTTGTTTATTTTTGAGTTGTAAGATATGTGTTTATTTTTAACGTGAATGGTATGATACTATATAAACTGTTCTGCACTCTGCTTTTTTTACTTATCAATATATCTTGACTATTAGTATATAAAAATTGGCTGGGTGCGGTGGCTCCCACCTGTAATCCCAGCACTTTGGGAGGCTGAGGTGGGCAGATCACCTGAGGTCAGGAGTTCAAGACCATTAAGACCACCCTGGCCAACATGGGGAAACCCCATCTCTACTAAAAATACAAAAATTAGCCAGACATGATGGTGGGTGCCTATAATCCCAGCTTCTTGGGAGGCTGAGACAGGAGAATCGTTTGAACCTGGGAGACAGTCGTTGGAGTGAGCTGAGATCACGCCACTGCACTCCAGCCTGGGCGGCTGAGCGAGACTCTGTCTCCAAAAAAAAAAAAAAAAATTTATCCTTATTTCATTGTATGGATGAATCTCATAATATATTGAATTAATCTCCCCACTAATGGACATTGAAGTTGTTTCCAGGCTTTTGCTATAATAGTTCATGTTGCAGAGAATATCTTAGCATGCATATCATCTCGCAAAAGTGAAAACTTTTTCTCAGGTAAATTATTGGAAGTATGTCAAAGGGCTTGACAATTTTTGGTAGATGTTGCTGTCTTGATGATAGTCACTCAACTCATGTGAGAGTACTAGTTTCTTCAATCCTTCTGAAACAAACTGTAATTATCAAGCATTGGGATTTTTTTTCCAATCTGATATGTGAAAGATGGAGACTCAGTGTTAATTTTCTTTTTTGTTTTTTCTTTCTTTCTCTTTCTTTCTTTCTTTCTTTCTTTCTCTCTCTCTTTCTCTCTCTCTCTCTCTTTCTCTCTCTCTCCTCTCTCCTCTCTCCTCTCTCTCCTCTCTCCTCTCTCCTCTCTCTCCTCTCTCCTCTCTCCCCTCTTCCCTCTCCCCTCTCCCCCTCTCCCCTCTCCCCTCCTCTCTCCCTCTCTCCCTCTCTCCCTCTCTCCCTCTCTCCTCTCTCCTCTTCTCCTCTCTCCTCTCTCCTCTCTCCTCCTCTCCCCTTCCCCTCTCCCCTCTCCTCTTCTTTCTTTCTTTCTTTTCTTTCTTTCTTTCTTTCTTTCTTTCTTTCTTTCTTTCTTTCTTTCTTTCTTTCTTTCTTTCTTTTTCTTTCTTTCTTTCTTTCTTTCTTTCTTTTTTTTTTTTTTTTTTTTTTTTTTTTTTTTTTTTTTTTTTTTTTTTTTTTTTTTTTTTTTTTTTTTTTTTTTCTTTCTTTCTTTTTTCTTTCTTTCTTTCTTTCTTTCTTTCTTTCTTTCTTTCTTTCTTTCTTTCTTTCTTTCCTTTTTTTTTTTTCAGACAGAGTCTTACTCTGTCACCCAGGCTGGAGTGCAGTGGCATGATCTCAGCTCACTGCAACCTCCACCTCCTGGGTTCAAGCAGTTCTCCTGTGTCAGCCTCCCGAGTAGCTGGGATCACAGGCTTCCATCCGCCTGGCTAATTTTTGTATTTTTAGTAGAGATGGAGTTTCACCATATTGGTCAGGCTAGTCTCGAACTCCTGACCTCAAGTGATCCACCCGCTTTAGCCTCCCAAAGTGCTGGGATTACAGGCATGAGCCACTGTGCCTGGCCTAATTTTCATTTTCTAGATTATGAACATCTTTCATATCTCTTAAAACTATTTGTATTTCATTTTGTTTGAACTGATGGTTCATGATTTTTCCCCATTTTTTCTCACTGAATTCTTTATCTTTTCATATATTAAAGCTCTCAGCCTTAGTCAAGATATGTATGTCTTGTGTCTTTTCACTCTACTTTTACTTTCTGGCATGCAGATTTTTTTTTAAATTTAGTCAAATTACACACCTTTGGAGTATGGATTTAATTTTTGGAAACAAACAAATGTCATTTAGAGTAGTTTTAGTAGAATAAATTTAGGTTCCCCTAAATAAAGCTAATTTGGTGGGGAAAAAATACACCCCCAAGGCGTGCCTCTAAGGTAAATAAGCGAACTTTTCCATGTAGCTGATACATTTAATTTGAAAGTGACTATAATCTTATTCACACACAAATCCGATTTTTTGTAATCTAACAGAATAAAAGTACACTAGAAATCAGTAGAGTCAGTTGCTGGCTCTATCGTGGATTTTCTATGTGCCACCCTCTTTTTATTTCATTTTCCTTATCTATAAAATTGAAATAAAAATACCTGCACTACTTAAACCACACAAGTATAAGAATATCAAATAAAAAATATCAACTTGCATTTTTTTTTAAACACTCCATTCTGATCAATTTCAGAACAGGTTGATAAGAATTTGGTGAGCTAAGATGAGATAGGGCCCAATCCTGGCATAAAAGCACCAATCTTTCCCCTTCCCAAGCCACACCCATCTGTCCTGTTCCTATGCTTCAATGCCTTTACAATGTGACCTTATTTTTAGTATTCCAGACTCTTCTGTGTGATAAGGTTTGGCTGTGTCCCCACCCAGACCTCATCTTGAATTGTATCTGCCATTATCCCCACGTGTTGTGGGAGGGACCTGGTAAGAGGTAATTGAATTATACAGGCAGGTTTTTCCCATGCTGTTCTCGTGATAGTAAATAAGATGATTTTATAAAGGGCAGCTCCCCTGTAGACACTTTCTTGCCTGCTGCCATGTAAAATGTGCCTCTGCTCCTCCTTTGCCTTCCACCGTGATTGTGAGGCCTCCCCAGCCCTGTGGAACTGTGAATCCATTAAGCCTCTTTTTCTTTATAAATTACCGAGTCTTGGGTATTTCTTCATAGCAGTATTAGTCATATGAGAATGGACTAGTACACTGTGTTTAATTTATACCTGCCCCATCTATAGGAGATTTTTCTTAATATTTTCTTAATCTTTAGACAAATTTTGCAGTCCAGCAGCACCAAGTATCTACTTGCTAATATAGCGAGTCTCTTTTTTCATTGCTTCCATCTTCAACTCAATATGAGTCTCTGAGGCTCATGGTATCCAATATTCATTTCTTTTACTGATAGGGAGACTTAAGCTTCGTTAGCAATTGGCAGGAACCTTGAGTGTACTAGGTCCTGTGTAAAATTCAATAAGAAATAGTAACAAGAACTTATTTGTAATGGATTAGAAATAACTTTTCCTAGGAGCAGTGGAGGTACCATAAATACTACGTTTACTTCTTCACATATAGTGCTGTTTTTGAAGAGATATTACAACAACATTTTGCAATTCATGTTTATCAGATAGTAAAAAGTGTGAGCAGTGTGGAGAGACTGCATGGATGGAGTCCCCAAGACAGTTATTATCTGAGAAGGCTGGAAGCTACTCAGAGAGCTTTGTAAAAACTGTATCGATACTGGGTCTACATTTGTGCAATGGAAAAACATGGAAGAGGATTGGGAATTGTTGGGTCCACACACCCCTCAATAAGAAATGAATTGTAAAAACAGGTTTATTCATGCAGTGATTGTTCACCTGTATGCATGAAGTGAATGATGAACCTAAGACTACATGTGTAACTTGGATAAATCTCAAAAAACAACGTTGAGTTTAAGAAATTACAAAAGGACAGAAACATACTACCATATATATACATTTTAAATAGACAAAATAATAGTAAATATTGTTTATGAATACAAAGATATGCATGGAAATGATAAGCATTATCCTCAGAATAGTGGTGTGGTTGCATCTGAAGATGAAAGGAGAAGGGAGGAGGAGTGGAATGTTAGCTGTTTCTGCAATGTTTTCTTGTTAGGAAAAAAATTCTGAAGAAAATGTGGCAAGATGTTAACATCTGTTAAATCTTAGTATTGGCTGTCATATTTTCTCCTGTACTTTTCTCTGAAATACTTTACAACTACACATAAAAATAAATATTTTTAAAAGAGTGATTTATATCTTATCTCTTTACCATCTCACTTTGTAGTTGCTTTGTTAAAAATTGGTTTGCTTATCATGGTCCTTTTGATGAACCGGAGTTAAAGAGTCAAAGAGAATTTTTTAAAGTCATTCCAAATTCTACTTCCTGAAATAATAATTGTTACTGTTAGACTATTATTATTCTAGAGCTCTTTCTGCCCATGTGTAATATAATAAATGGATAGAAAGGTGGGGAATTAATAAGAAAGGAAGAAGGAAGAAAGGAAAGGAAGGAAAAAGATATGGAAGGAAAAATCTAGGATATAATCTTCATGTGGGAAGGACTTACTTTAATTTTACTTGAATGTGACAAAAGAAAAAAAACTAAATTGAAGAAATTGTGGAATCTCAAATGTTTGTTAGCCATAAGAGACATTATTTAAGTTCAGAAAAGATTTTGAGGAAAACATTAAGAGACTGTAGTCCTTGTGTGTTTTTTTAAACTATCT